GGATTAGGCACCAACTAGTGGAAAAACCTGAATGAAAACAGTGAGTATAGAGATAGTCAGAGCTGCGGACTGTCAGCTACTCTGACGAGACCAACAGCCTAAATATTTCCAAGTGGTGTTAGGACCTGAGAATTGACCTAAAGATCAGCCCTGGTCACCAAGGGCTGCAGGGACGACTGCACTGGTGGCCTATGACTAGGAAGGGAAACAGCAAGGAGGGAGGAGACAACCTGAGCTGTGGACTTTCCACCATCCAGAGGGTGCAGCCATTTTGATTGTTTGCACATGGCAGCCATTTTGGATACATAAAGTGATCGAGGGCCATTCTGGATATTTAAAGTGACTGAGGGCACAGCAGTTTTGAATCTTTACAAGTGGCAACCACTCTGGATTTTAAAGTGATAGCATTCTCATTCGGATTCCAGAGACCTAAGAATAGGCTCTGTTTGCTGAGGTCAGCAAGGATATACAAGAGGCTGACAACAGGACAGGAGACAGATGGTGAGTGTATAAGTGCTGTCAACTAGTGAATAGAGAAGCACACCACAGTATCCTGCTTGCGTAGATAACATACAAACAAAACAAAGAAAACGAAAATCGTGGGCAAGTGACTCCAACATACAATCACCAATTAAACATAAACACAAAAACATCACAATGCCTTGGAGACAACAGAACATCACAGTCCACACAAAGAAGCAAGATAAAGCAAGAGAAACAAGGGACCAGGATACAGACCCAAAACGCATCCCTGAGGAATACGCACCATTGGAACTCCCTGAGAAGGAATTCAAAAGAATTATATTTAGGTATCTTCAATGAATTGAGAAACAGATCAAGGAAAACACTGACAAAATTGAGAACACAAAGAAAACCCTATGACGATTTCAAAAGATAATATAAGAACAAAATGGCAAAGTAAATGAAAAATTAGAAATGATACAAAATCTACACACAGAAACCCAGAAGATTAATACTAAATTTTCAGAAATGGGTAAGACACTAAATGGACAAAGGAGAAGAAATGAATCAATGGAAGACAGAATTAATGAGATTGAAGGCAAACACCTGAACAC